GCAACAAAGTAGGATACCGGTGGCAATCTTCCACGCCGCTGGCAACCCACCATTGGCCATCTTTTCGGTGGTCCGCTGCCAGCCACATCTCAGCCATGCCTACAGTACGCTGGTGTCGCGTCTGAATTATAGGACAGACCTGGCAAGCCTGGCTCTCCAAGGCGACGGGATGACGGCGGCGGAAGGCGAAAGTGGCAGGCGTCAACGTGTACTACCTTACCTTGCAATGGGATGATCAGCCAGGAACGCTATCCGTGGCCCGTCGCTGCTACTTAAACACGCCAAACATCAAGGATCTTGGTTATGGCTCGGCCTATCCCACCGCAAGAAGTTGGACATCACCTGCTTCTCTCCCCCATAATTCGTTGTTGGGGCCTCCAAAGTGCCGGGAAGGATTGCGACGCCAGAGGGAATCCCCTGCCATGTATAAACTGAGTACGGACCATACCCACGACCTTTAACAACCCAATACCGTCCGCCCTTCAGTTCTGCGCATTTCGTGTTATGCTCTATTGCCCTCGATAGATCCCCTTCGTGGCACTCATCATGGGACAGAAGCCTAGCAGCCCGTTGGCGACTTGTCTCGACAACGTCTGCAATGGCCGCTCCTCTTGCGTTGGATATCCAAACGACCCTCTCTTCCAGCTCAACTGGGTGAAGCCGTACAATCTCGATATCCCGGTGGAGCCCATCGCTGTCACAAAACCGTCAACAACGGAAGATGTCGCCGGTTTCGTCAAATGCGCTGCGGACAACAATGTCAAGGTGCAAGCCAAATCGGGAGGCCACTCATATGCGTAGGTTTCTCGACATGTCATCGTTATCTAGTCCACTGCTAACATGCTCATCTCTCCTCAGCAACTTTGGCATTGGTGGCACCGACGGCGCTCTCGTCATTGACTTGGCAAACTTTCAAAACTTCTCCATGGACACGAACACTTGGCAGGCAACTATCGGCGGAGGTCACAAGCTGCACGACGTGACGGAAAAGTTGCACGACAATGGGAAGAGAGCCATGGCTCACGGCACGTGTCCCGGTGTAGGCATCGGAGGCCATGCCACAATTGTTAGTCCCCCGCAGTCGGCGATCTATCAAGCCTTCGTGCGCCCTGCTAATGCATGTCACATTTAGGGCGGTCTCGGCCCCAGCTCAAGAATGTGGGGAAGTTGTCTTGATCACGTCGTCGAAGTTGAGGTGGTCACCGCAGACGGCAAGATCCAGCGAGCAAGCGAGAGCCAGAACTCGGACCTCTTCTTTGCTCTCAAGGGCGCCGGCGCCGGCTTCGGCGTCATCACCGAATTTGTTATGCGGACCCACCCGGAGCCCGGCGATGTTGTACAATACTCGTACGCCATCACTTTCGCCAAGCACCGCGATCTTGCACCTGTCTTCAAGCAATGGCAAGATCTCATTTCTGATCCAGAGCTGGACCGTCGGTTCAGCAGCGAGTTTGTGATGCAGGAGCTCGGCGTCGCCATCACGGCTACATTTTACGGTACAGAAGATGAGTTCAAGAAGACGGGCATTCCCGACCGCATCCCCGAGGGCAAGGTGTCCGTGGTGGTAAATGACTGGCTCGGCGACGTTGCTCAAAAGGCACAAGATGCGGCGCTCTGGCTGAGTGACATCCAGTCACCCTTCACCTCCAAAAGTCTCGCCTTTACACGCAACGACCTCCTCAGCGAAGATGGCATTCAAGGAATGATGGACTATGTGGATGGTGCCGACCGCGGTACCCTGATTTGGTTCCTCATCTTTGACGTTACCGGCGGCGCAATCAACGACGTGCCCATGAACGCTACCGCCTACCGTCACCGCGACAAGGTCATGTTCTTCCAGGGCTACGGTGTCGGCATCCCGACCTTGAGCAGCAAGACCAAGGATTTCATGTCCGGAGTCGCCGACAAGATCCGGAAAGCGAGTCCGAACGAGCTGAGCACGTATGCTGGTTATGTCGACCCGACACTCGACAACGCGCAAGAGAGGTATTGGGGAACCAACCTCCCAACGCTCGAGCGCATCAAAGCGACGTGGGATCCCAAGGATCTGTTCTCGAATCCCCAGAGCGTGCGACCCAACGCGAGCGCTCAGATTGTCGCGCCTACGACTAGTGGTGGTTCGAATGGCTCGAATAATAGCGATTCGACAGGCGGTGGGAGCTAGGAAGGGGCCGGGAGCACCCGGCATCTACCTGGTCTTATGGGACTCGTGTTCACAACGGTTATGGTTTTGGCATTCTCTATACTCATGGCATAAGGCACTGGCTCGGTAGATCATGAGGCAGTGGGCTGTTTTCTTCAAAGATACCCGGTATCAATTCAAGCATATTCTATTGGATTCATCATTTGGCCACGTTTGTGGTTACGCAAGTGCCGTGAAAACTCAAGGAAGCCTGCTAGGCATTCAAATAACAATGTGCACCTTTGGAGTCGTACGCTTCGAAGATGACCGACCTGGGCAACGGCAGGACACATAGGCACCCGCCATGCGATCCTGGTCCGTCCTTTGTGGGGGCCGTAATTTCGCCCTCTCATCGGCCAACACTCATCATCAACCACCACCAACGCCAACATCATTCAGACTTAACAATCCTTCGTCTCGCCTGGCGGGAGCTCGTTCCTCGTCAAGCCTTTGATCTGATCGATGTAATCGAAGCAATTGATGTGAACTCGGATTCGCCTCGAAACTTCCTTGTTCATCAGTATCAGCATCTTCACCCTTCACCACCTCACAACCTCACCCCAACCGACCAAAAGATGCCCTCCGTAATCAACGGCAACCTCTCCCGCCGCCCCTACACCGTCCTTGAATCCGCAACCCGGATATCACACATCCTCCACCACCCCTCCCTCCTCACGCCGCGCGAGGTCGTGTTGGGAATCTACCTCGTCTACATAACCTACTGCACCGTCCTCACGCTCCGCAGCATCGGTTACCTCGTCTTCGAGGCCGGCGGGCGGGACATGTGGTGCCCGGAGGACCCGCCTGTGCCGGAATGGTATCCGCCCGGGTGGAAGGTGGAGCTGAGCAGGTGGGATTGCTTCCGGATGTTGAGGTGGATGGTGCTGAGGAGGTTTGGGGCTTTGGGGTATGGGGTTTTTGCGTGGGGTGTAATGGGGGTGCTGGGTGCGCTTTTGGCAGAGGAAGGGGTTAGATGGGTTAGAAGATGAGTGAGAGGGATGGTGACGGTTGTTTGGGTGATGGCTTGAGTTGAGGTCGTTGGGCGCGATGTTGGTATGGGTTAGACTGCGACTTTGAAGTCAAGAGGCTTCGGAGATGACTTAGATAGTCTTAGCTACGCTGAGAATCATGTCTCGAGACTTGGAAATCAAGATACGATCAAGGCTCAGGCAGCTACGCGTCATATTTGATCATGTCCGGCTTTGTTCAACGACTGTGTTATCTTCTAGTCCGCTTTAGCAAACTTTTGGAATTAGCAACCATATTTCAGACTTGCGTCATGATCTACTTCTACAATGGCTCCTTGTAAAATGATTACGAAACCCACTTGAAATCAGTTGAACATCAGTCGCCTCCAAGATCTTATCAAGGTGTGAGAATACAGCCCTGCCTCTCATATCGTGACCTCTCACATCTCGGGGCGGTTATCTCACCCAGAATTATCCTCACTTGAGCCTACAAGGCGGGACCGGAATGATGTGGCTCTTCAGTTGCATCGCCAGAATCTTCTTATTCACCCGGTTGCCGTAGACTACGGTCATCAACGGGGTGATGGAGGGGCTCGGAGTGCTCTATGCCGGGATGATGGAGATGATGGGCCTTGCCCCAAGGATGTCCGGATGGGGACTTTGGAGGTGGAAGTGGACAACGGATTACTCTCAGATGGCCTGATACGAAAGAGTTGTCTGCGCGATGGTGGTATCTGTGATGCACGGTTTATGAGCTCTATGTGAGCTAGGCCTCAACTGGAGAGCGCCTTGCACCAGATGGTCGATGATATGAATTTCGGCGAACTGATAAGAGAACAGAATTAAGATTGTCCTTGCTACCAAGTATAACAACGGAATGGGGAAGGGCTTTCAATATGGTACTGGAGCGACGATGAAAGTCTTATCATGAGACAAATGCAGGTATGTTTACGAAGCAGTAATTCCCATGAGCGTGATGCAAGGCGTCGTGTAAGGAAGCTCAAAACTCCAAGTCATCAAGAAGACTGCGTCATTTGCGTCGCTTCTATTTCCAACGACAATCGCTTCCCTCGTCGTCGAACATACCGTACCTCCTTAAGGTCTTCTAAGTCAAGTTCAATCTCGACCCACTCACGGGCGATGGATTCGGGAGTTCTTGATGTGCTTCGCTGTTATCCCACGCAGAAGCGTGGACCTGAAGGCTGAAGTATCCACATCCAGCATCCCAACCAATCGTAATGGGCCTCGTTAGGCTTGCCCGTGTGTAAGTTAAGCACGCAGCAAATTAAATGACTTAGAAGTCTATCTTCCCATAGCTGATTGAGAGTGAAAACGGATATCGCGCAGCGCCGCCTTCGCTGCTACTTTTATTCCTCCCAAGATGATCAAGTGGGGGTGGCTCGGTAAGAGTCGGTGAGAATGGCTGATCTGGACTGATTAGTTATATTCGCCGGTTAACGATTACATGACTGTATGCCCGTTCACTGCAATCTACAGTCTTTGAGAACCGAAGAAAGACCCAACGTCCTTCACTGCGATTGTATCTTCCCCCAAGGCAGTGATGAGGGGCGGGCCCTGGGAGAGAATGAGGTGGGGCAAGACTTACAGCGGGGTCTCTGTGCATCCAAAAAACAGAGGGAAAGGTTTTCGGGGTGGCTTATCTAATCTCCACGTGACTGACAATTCTGGCTCGGGTAAGGGAGGAGCGTAGGGTTCGGTGCTCCACACCAGCGATTCACCAAAAACATTTTCGAAGTCGTGAAATTTCCAGCCTAGTTCACGATTCCACGTCCGCCATCTAACCCTCCAGCCAGCCCCGTAGTTGATTCCGACACCCCCAAACCGACACAATGGCCAAGCTCTCGTAAGTCATTGTCACTCTACTCTTCGAATCCAGCGACGGCGCAAAATTTTCGGCTTCTTTTCACCCCTCCTCCAGCGACGACGGGGGTTTTGGTGGGATGCACGCGGCACGAAGCGGGCGGGCGCTCGAAATTTCGACACAAAACAACACTACGACCGACGCAGGGAAAGAGGAGGAAATTTTGAAGACAGCAAGGCAACGGCCGGAAGTGTTAGATTGGGCTTCGACTTCGACAGAAACACCGATTGACGGCATGCACGAATGGAAAACAAAATCACTGCGCGAAACGACACCCTCCGCCTGCCGCTAGCCCGCCACGAGAAACGAAATTTTGCGCCGACAATGGAGGAGACAAGAGCAGAGATAACTCCGGCAAAGACCAAGACGCGGAAGTGCTGACCAGATTCCTACAGTCGCGGTGCCCCCGGTGGCAAGCTCAAGATGACCCTCGGTCTTCCCGTGTACGAACTCTCCTCTCTCCCCGAATGAGAGAAACCCTTCTCTCTGTGGTGGGAAACACGTCGCTGACTCTGTTGCTTCAGTGGTGCCGTCATGAACTGCGCCGACAACTCTGGTGCCCGTAACCTTTACATCATCTCCGTCAAGGGTATCGGTGCCCGCCTCAACAGACTGCCCGCCGGTGGTGTCGGTGACATGGTCATGGCCACCGTCAAGAAGGGAAAGCCCGAACTCCGCAAGAAGGTCCACCCCGCCGTCATCGTTCGCCAGTCCAAGCCCTGGAAGCGTTTCGACGGTGTCTTCCTGTACTTCGAGGACAACGCCGGTGTCGTAAGTACTATCCGATATCTGGGAGACATGGGACGCGTCGGACGAGACTTGGCCGTACGGCTTTCGCATAGCTAGGCTCCGAAGATGACGTCCCTTTTTGGAGATGGATATCACGAGCTGTCTGCTAACACACCTACTACAGATCGTCAACCCCAAGGGTGAGATGAAGGGCTCCGCCATTACCGGCCCCGTCGGTAAGGAGGCTGCTGAGCTCTGGCCCGTAAGTTTTCCCAATACAAACGATCTTGTGATACACGAGACTAACACCCAATCCAGCGTATTGCCAGCAACTCTGGTGTCGTCATGTAAAGGAGTTTTTTTTTTTACACAAGTCAAGAAATAAAAGGGCGAAAAGGACGACGTTATGGCTACGGATTAGGTCAACCGGTGCGAACCATTGGGACATACTTCATCACCCCTCCTCCTCTCTCTCCTTGACACCTCTCTCCCCCCACCCTGTCGTCATGAAGTGAAAGAGAGCGAGGTCGAATGGATTCCATCATCACACACAAAACACCATCTGAAAGAGGGTTGTGAGCCTGGTTTTTTTCTTTTTAGTTTCCTCGCTGGACTGGCAGGTTCTGCATTTCGGCTGTGGCGTGTAAAGGGAAAGAAATTCATACCAGGCATTTCGCATACAGGAGAGATACAAAAATCCGATTCTTTGCGCACGTTACACATATTTGCCTCCTGCCTCCCCGTTTCGCTCCCCATTTGGCGCCTTCGCTGCGTGTGAATTTGCCATGTCTTTGCTCTACTCCCAAGCAGACGAGCGTCGACGAACACCGATCAGGCAAGTGCCCAGGATTCCAACCAGAAAGTTAGGTCTGTGTTAGTGATATCTGCATGCGGTTTCCTCCCCGCCTTCTCACTTTCGCCCGCTTCTATTTGCGGCGACGGATAATGAATGTGTCCGCTGAGGCTCTGACTGCACAGCAATTTTAACCCCCTCGCGGGCTATGGCCTACGTTCACGATTTCCTCAATCAGCCCGAACCAGTCCAGCACCGCTTACCCAATTCTCATGTCCTCTACCTGGAGTAACTTGACTTGCCTTGTTGTGATACAAGCTCTGCGCCGTGAACATACTACTCTTTTCCGCGTGTACGGTAGCGACATTTCGGTTCCTCTGACTTGATATAGCTATGAATAACTTATCCAATCAGGGTCGCATTACGAATAGGTGGTTTCGAATTGCCTACAGTGTCGGCTACAAGACTTGGAGCCGACACTGTAGGCAATACCTAGGCTAGACATTGCTCAGCATTGCGATGTTCGATAGCTGGTTGGAGAAGAGGAAAGTCATTGCTCGAAATGTAGTCAAACGCACCAGGGCGTATACTTTGTCATCCCATATGAACATGGAGGTATCAAGGATCGGGAAGAAGACCTATTGAGGAGGCCTGTCTGCATCGCGAGACTTGCAGCATGACGGGGCCAAAGCACTTGCGCACCTGCGGTAAATCCACGTACAACTATGCCCAAGGATTGCAGTCTTTAAAGCCTGGTGAGCGGCCAAAATTGCAGTGTTGACAACCAGCCCCCTTTTCAAACCGTGTCACTCGCTGACACGCGCCATGATTGGTATTGAACTCCTCCCTGAGCCACCAGAATGGAGTGCCAGTCGAGCATCGCCTCGTTGTGCGGCAGGATAAACCAATAGACGAGTCGATACCTTCAAGAAGCCACCCGTGCGATCAGAAAAAGGATGTCCGCATGCGCCCGAGAAGAGAGGAAGTAATAGTATGGGTCATTGCCGTCACCATGTCCGCAGCACGCCACATCAGGCCCAGCCTGTCGTAATCCTGGCTGCCACCTATAATCGAATGGAAGAGGATTGTAGAGCTGCAGCTGCTGAATGACTTGACACCGAAGCCCTTCGAGTGAGGTAAAAACGCAGTGAAAATGACCGTACAGTGGATAGACTGTGTACAAGGCATTGCATTGTGGTTTAGTTGTCATATCGCCACCCAGCGAGCACCCTCTCTAAGGTTGCTAATTTTGATGTTAGGAAGCACCTCGCAATATTATAAGTCCGCAACGAGATCAATTAGCCTTTTTCTACGCCAGGAGAAATGGTAGCCGCTTGCTTATAATGCAAAATCTCTGTAGATTAGAATTGCCGAAGATGACCGACGAGATGACCTCTGGAAGACACTAGAGTCTCAGTGTACTCCCACAGGCTTAGATACATACAGCTGCGTTGGACGGGTTGCATAGTTGCATGGAATGCGAATGCAAGGCTGAGTTCTCTTGGACGGGAAGGAGGTAGCTAAGGCTATATCTGATCCAATGAAAGTAGCCGATAGAGGCAGCACGGCCTTGGGGCGTGTAGAAATTGCAGTGAAGGTTGACAAGCTATGATGCAAGTATGAATTGGCTCATGTGATTTGTTTTTGCTAGTCCACGCTTGAAGCTGGAGTTGCCTGGCCCCACCTTCCAGATAATCAGCGATGAAGATGTTCACATGTGCAGAGCAGAGGAGGGAACGGTTGTCTCGAGCTCCGTTGCCTTGCTGCTCTCGCAACCGCATATCACGGACGCGTCGGCAATACGAGTTTTAGGGGCCATCGGAAGTGGCTCAAGATGAAGGTTATGGGCGGAATAGAGAAATTCTACGATACTATGACCACTGACAAACGTGGTGGCCGGCTTGCCAAAGACAGGTGAAGGACATGTCGAGCGAGGTTAGATTGTCAATTGCACCTACGGCGTAAGGCACTCACTTGTGAAGTTTCGATTTTTAGTTTCGGAAAACATGGCGATGGAGGCATTTTGGTCCCTAGGAGATGGGGAGATGCTCAAGATATGACAAGCGACACATCGAGCGAAATACTCACTGAGTTGTACTCCTGCATGGTCAGGATAGCTTCAACGAAGAGGTAAACAAGCAAGTTCAAGAATAGCAGAGACAATTCTTCGTATCACATCAAGAACGTCGTATGTGTATGGCATCAACGTCAATTTCATCAGAGAGTATCGACTCCATCCTTCCACCGCCATCGTAGCAGAAGACAAACCCCACTTATCCATCACCAACCCATGTCCTAGGGCGTCTCAACGAGATCCTTCAAGCAGGAAATCAGAGCCAAATTCCCTCATCCATGAACCGCCCAGATATGCGAAAGCTCTTTCTCCTTCCCCAAGGCTGAGGCCAGACAGTCCACGACTTGACTCTCCACTTGCATTGACGCGCCACCTCCGAAAGACCACTCACTTCAGCGAGCGGGTGCCAAATCGACGAAATTTCGTATTCGTCGCCTGAAATCAAGAAAAGTTTGGCGCAAATACATAAGAGCCGAGAAAGAAAGATTGGATAAAAAGAAAAAGTGACGAAGACAGCGGCACTGTAAATGTCCTCAGTCGATTATGGGAGCTGAGGCCAATATACCGTTCTGTCAATCCATCAATGCAAAGATCCATACGCTCTCTCCTCCTTTTTGGTTTCCAACACTCGAATCGAAAATGGGAAAAAGTCGGATGCCCTCGCTTCCCGATGCTGATGTAAGAGAGATCATCTCCCAAGGTGCCTCTCCCGATATGTGTACTCGAACAAGAAAACTGAATTAGGTGTGTATCGGCGTGCGGGGCTTTTGCGTATTCGTGTGCCCGAACCCGTCCACTGCCATCCGGATGCGACTTTCGTCATGCGAATGGGTATACAATGCTGATCGTAGAAGACTGGAAAATAGTTGCTTTGAGAAGCACATGATGCTGGTAATGATATTCGTGGGTCTCGTGACCTTTTGCGGTTGTGTTTTTTCAATGTGATCCGTATGGGTCATCATCCTGCTCTGCATGGTAATCAAACGTGCCGTTCTTAACGGACGTGTGTAGTTGTGTCTGGATTCGTTACTGTCCCTGTCCCATGGGGAAAGGTGCCGGTTGTGCAGATTGCTGGAGTTGCATGGCCTTCTGCTGAGCGATTCGGGCCGCATCAGCTTCGGCCGCGGCAGCTGCTGCCTTTTTCGCAGCGAGAGTAGCCTTTCTTTTGTTGACAGCGCCCTGCATGCTGCCATTAAGCCATCGTTCTAGAGAAATTGTTAGTGGAATGTAAAATCAGTGATGGGGTTGCGTAAAGCGTACTTTTCATCGAGGCCGACATCTTCTCCGACTTGGTCATGGTCGAGTAATCCTTCTCCTCCCCTTCAGCCTGGCTAGGCGGGGCCGATGACTTGGCCGAGGTGGGTGCAGACATTGGCGCTGGCCGAGGGGTCGACAGGTTGTACTCGCTGACGTCCGTAGATGTTTGGCGCGGCGAGGCTGGGGGCTTGATGGTCCATCTGGAGCCATTGTTAATCAGCTTGAATGACACCATCATCCGGGGCTGAGGGGACTCGGCTGCATCGAGAGTCGCGGTGAAACGGTGTATATCAGCGAGAATATGCTCGCCCAGTGTCTCTTTGGGTGCGAGCTCCGGTGCGCTTTGCTTTCTGTTGATGCGAATGATGCGAGCCTTCTTAGGCTGGGGTTCGGCCTCCACTTCTTCCTCGTCGACTTCCTCCTCGTCCTGCCAATTTCGCTGTCGCTTCTTCTGACGCAGTCCGTAGGTAGATCCGGCGTCCGAGATAGTGGCCATCGATGATGCCGAGGTAGGGCGAGATTCGTCGGTTGTTTCGGGTGCAACAACAGCAACATGGCCGTTGCTCTTTCGCTGCGCTGCGCGACCTCTCTTGGGGGTCGGCTTCTCGGGCTCCTCTGGCTCTTCCTCGACAATGGCGGCCGACTTTGGTTGTCTGCCACGCTTGCGCTTGGGAGGCTGTACCTGCTCTGGCTCCGGCGGCGGGGCGATGGCCTCTTCTTCGGGAGCAGGCGAATTCGGCTCCGAGACCACCACGGCAGACTTCCTACCCCTCGGCCCTCTCTTCTTGGGGCCGGGCTTGGCAGGTGAAACTGTTTGCGGCTCGGGCTCAGGCTCCTCTTCGGGATCTTGAGCTGAAGCCGCCTTTTCTGCGGCGGCAGCCCTACCGCGCTTCTTCGGGCCCGGCTTGTTGCTTCCCGGAGTTGCTGCACGGTGGTCGTCCTGTAAGACGCCGTCAAACAACTTCGGGGGGTTGCGAGTTCTCTTGCCAGAGACGATGACTCCGTCGCCCTCGGCAGCCTTGGCGCTTGCTTGCGGCTGGCTTCGGAGTTGGCGGACACCTTCGCCTCCACCACCCTTCTGAGCGCCGGGATCTTGGTTGCCCACTTTGTTGGGGTGAGGATCGTACTCAAAGTGATACGTGGCGGCCATGATTCTGTCTTGCAAGCGTTGCTCGAGAATTCCGGCGTCTTTCTCCTTGATCGTGGCTCGGGAGCCCTGCACCTCAA